GTTTAATGTCATGCATGTTTTAACTGTTGCAATTAATATGTCCAAGGGTGTAATCTGTCATTCAACAAACCGAAAGACAACCAATTATATCCGGAATTTTTTTTTTCACTGTCGGCAGACTTTGTTTTCAAAAGCGTAGCAATGTACGACTAGGTCCATTCACACAGTATTGGTGTGCTTACTTTTACCAGGCGAAAGTATCAGCTACTTTTGATGCTGCGTTCGGTGTTGTCTAGCACATATTGGTTGAGATCACTAAAGCAAATATTGATAACTAATGGTAAACCAGCAAGACTTTACCATGCAAATATGAATACATAGGTATACACTGTACACAGCAAAACAATAATTTTGAATTCACATCAAAATGGATGCAATCGTGTCAAAAAAGACAAAATTGCCATTAATACAGTGCATGAACTGACATTACGCTGCTTTTACTGTATTTGTTTATTTTTGTGGCCATGAAAAATAGATGAGATTTTCGACATGATTGAAGTGCATGCTCTTGGATGTAATATTAAAATTTATTTTTTGCTGCGTAATAGTTTGAGGAGCACATCATAGAATGGCAGAAAAGATGATCACTGGTGTTGAGCTCAACACATGTTTATAGAGATTTTCACGTCCGGTTGTGTTGGTGCGATATGTGAGAGCGTGTTAGTGAATATCCGAGGAAAATACATAACAAATCGATGTCAAACTCATTTTTTTTTTTTTTCTTTGGATTTGTCTTTTCAGACAGGCTAAGACCATGGCTGGTCCATCTCGCCACCAAACTCATTTTGACAGATCTACTTTCATACATTTTTTAGGTTAGCCAGAGGAAAATAATAAACAACTTTACACGGCGATGCTCCCGCTAGTGTGCTTGCGTTACACGTCACATATCTATATCCCCGCAGTGTTGTTCAGATAAACGGGAGTCTACAGTACAGAGTGGTGTGCAGTGAACCCTTTAGCGTGGCCAAAACCTCTAGCGCCGTGGGTATGCATTCTAAAGATTTGTAGTCTTCGACAAAGTTACTAAGTTTATTAAGGGCCAACTTTTGGTGTTTTCTGGCTAGATCGTTTTCCTACCGCATAGGTGACGCTCGAATATATATTTTAAACGGAGAGTCCTAGAAGGATGGATAGGCAAAGTTGTGCATTTTAAAGTTCTTACCTAAAGTGAGACATCGGCCTACTAAAAAAAAATACCGTAAATAAGGCGTTTTCATCATTTTTACAGTATTTAAGCCAAAATTAAAATCATCATCTTCGTATCGTCAAAATGATAGAACCTATCCATATCAAATGTTGACAAGCAAAACGTTCGTTTAAGAAAACGAAAGACCCGTTTGGAAAAACGGAATGGCCGCGCGCTTTCAATACATGATAGCCTTGGTACACCATATACTGACTAATACACATTCCACCAAAAGTGCTGATGTGATTTAATACATTAATTCTGATTTGATTTAAGGTACCGCATGATGGGTTTTAATCCATGCCAGAAAGTGGCCACTTTCTAGGGGTTAGTGTGGTCCTGGGCACTTCAAATTACTACCATTGAACTGGATTTTAAATTCTCATTTAATTTGATGGGTTTTATCAGAGATGAAGCAGCCTACGGATGAAAGTCTCCTAAATAAAGGAAATCAATCAATGATAGACTTAACTCCGGGTCATATTCCGGTCATATCTCCGGAACCAGTTGACATGTTCCAAAAATATTTAAAAGCGTTCTATAGAATTTTAGTACCTTTCCTGTTGTTGAGTCCTATTGTGTCCAGTGGTTTTCGAGAAACATGACTGAGTTCCATAAATCTGTGTTTTAAGATATTATACTGTGTATATCTCCGGAACCAGTTGACCGATTCTATAAATATTTAAAGGCATTTTATGAGACCATGAATCCTTTCATTTGGTGGTTGTTGCCATTCAATTCGGTTTAAGAGTTGTTGAGAAACACGACTTAATTCCCTTAATAAGGTTTTTTTATCTTGGTCCGCCCTTATCTCCGGAACCAGTTGACCGATTAAAAAAATATGGTTGTTGCACCCAATTCCGTTCAGTAGTTGCCGAAAAACACGTCTTGAAAAATTGTTCGTTAGATACGCACACATACACACAAGCAGAAATTTTCCGATCTCGTTGAGCAGAGTCGATTGGTATATGAAACTCGGCTCTGCGGGCCTTGGATCGAAAGTCGGTCTTCCATGCGATATGTATACCTTGCTTTGTAAGAATGGTAAAATTCTCGAAAAAACAGTAACAGCTTTTCTTTCAACGTCCCACGATCGAGTAAACTGTGTTGCTATGTATCAGCAAACGGTGAAAAGGCGTTTGAGTGTTCGCGTAAATAATCAGGGAGCGTAAACGGTTCCCGTACAGCTACTAATTGATAGTCTTGCGGTTGCTTCGGAACAGTGCACATCACTGCTCTCGGTGCAACCTATCTTAAGTTGAGAAATTGGTCCAGAAAAATAACAGTCAATCAACGTGATTCTTCTATCAAAGGTACCTGACTCACTAGTGTTCCCTATTGCTCATATATCAATTATGATAATGATTGACACATTTTGTGATAAGGCACATTAGGGCGATAAGGAATGTATAAATTGGATCCGACATCCGAAATATTCTCATCACGAAATTTTAAACTTTCATTGTTTATCTTGAAGTGCAGACAGATAACGAGTGAAACGTGTGAATCTATTTCCTTATGTAAAATCACCTGAGATTGAACAATTGTACAATTACAAGCTTATCGCATGCCAAACGCCGTCGATCAACGCTATCGCCTAAAAAACAAATATTAAAAGGTACCAAGAACTATCAGGCGGCAAGTCGAAAAATCATGCTCAATCGTTTAAAGTGAAAGCCTTATCACAATACACAATAAAATGTTGACGTAGCAGCTACTGCAAAAACAAAGTCATATGTATTTACATGCAATATGTGTATAAAAGGTGATAACTGAGCATGACCTGTGAGCTGATCACCGTGTACTTGAATGATATGATTTGTCCGTTATTTGAACTTGGTGTGATGTAATAAATAAAAGCAAAAAAAAACTTTCTTTGGAAGCATGGAAAGTACATCAGCGTAAATTGAGAAAACGTACTATCAAACAATAATAAAATATCTGCATCGATTTCCTAATTACGACGATACAAAAGAAATTATCGTCAAATATTTACGCTTATTTACTTCACTGTAATTTATTCTTAACGCACTGTGCGAAATAATGTTAGAAGTTTGTTTGAATTGTTGGCCGCACTTTTTGTCAATTTGGGCTAGATATATTTGGTTTAGATTGTTTGATGCTGTTTTTGATTACCATAAATAGGGTTGGTGTACCAGAAAATCATGTTTTTATAGCAAGTGAGTGGAAGCAAACCTGCTTGCAGCTGGTCAGTTTACGATGAGCATTGGTGATATTTACAGGATGATTTTACATGTATGTAATTCTCAATGGATAAAATTAATACATGATTAAGTATTTTTGTTTTAAAGTGTATATAAATGTCAGCTTGACATGATAGAGGAAGGAGGGGCATAGTGAACAGGACAGTTTTAAATTTATAATTGTTCAAAATTTAATGTTATGGCCATTAGTTCAGTATAAATATGAAATTTGTTTTGATCAATTATAAATTTAAGGATTAAGGGAGTAGTACACTCTGGAACTTTGAAAAAATCAATATTTTTACGGACTCAATTTTGTTTTTTAGAATGTCTATGTTATGGGAAACATTATCCAACACTCTGTTCGAAAATAATAGGCCGAAACGCAAACCAAAGTCCTGGCCCGCGCTCCGACGTCTCAAAACATTAAACATGACTTTTTAAGTTGGCGTGGAACCCGAATGAAATCATTTGGCGTGGAATCCGAATGAATTTTGGCCGAATTTGAGCAGAAAAGGTCCTAAATAACAAATGTAAACAAATCGAGTTAAACGATACAAACTATTGCTCTTCTATCAATGTTTGTTATACAAAAACACCCATCCAAATTTACTTTCAATTATTTAAGATAATCATAGGACAACAATTGTCCAATCTACAGTTTGAAATGATGGATACATGATTGTTACTTTGGTCATTTGGACTGCATAACATGACTGGTGCTCATTTTTTAAAGGCGGGGCCAATCTAAAGTTAGGTACTCTACTCTGAAATCTGTGAAAGGGAATCTAGTATCATGTAGAACAAAACCTCCAATGTAACACACATTGATTATTTCATTTAGAAAAATCATCCAATGTACAACTTTATTAGTCAAAACGTCCTATGTGTTTTTTTCTATATTGTAGCATGAAATTCAAAGTAAAATTGTGATTTTACCGTTTCTACTGAATTTTCAACGTTATTATGATGATTATGATTTAAACTGTTTAGAAACAATACATTTTGCAATACTATTTTTAATGTAGTCAGTGAATACTGACTGCATTAAAAATAGTATTGCAAAATGTATTGTTTCTAAACAGTTAAAATCATAATCTGTCGAACTTCAACTTCGATTTTCTCAAAACGGTGGTTTTCAAGCCACCGAGGCGAGAATTATGCAAAGTTTCATGGAAATTGAAGAAGGTCTGATCGATTTGTCATTTGGTGTGGAACTGCTCAAATGCTGTTGATTGACTGTCAATTTATACAGGTTAAATCGGTCTAAACTGAAAAATAGCATTTAGGACGTTCAAAATTTGTTAATCACATAAATATAACAGATTGCTCAAATAGGTACACCATTTCAATGCAGATGAAATCGATTACCACCTAAATAAGGCTATAACCAGACATACTGAATTACACAAATATTTACCCTACAATAAACAGCCAGTGGATTTATGGAAATGCATCATATCGTTAGTTGACTTTCAGTTGCCATGAGATACAGCAGTGCTTCTGATCAGCGGTTCTCGAGTAAATCTATGATAAGCTTGATTCAACTACACATACACAAAATAAGATTTTTACTAACCATTGCTATTATTCTTATCCACTTACAGAATACCTTATCCGATAACGCAGAAAACACAGCAGCTACAAATCAACCGATTTTCAATCAATTTTTTAAGTATAAGTTATCCAAACCTCATCTAATTTATTGCGTCCTAGAGTGTACTTCAGCATCACACTTAAATTAATCTATTACATTCGTTTATACCTGAACTATTGAATAACGATCAATATAAATAGTTGTTAAAAAATTTACACGTACAAATTTATATAAGCCCTGAGGCTTGCCTAGTATTAAGCTACATAATCATCGCCATCACCATGTCAATGTGCGGTGCTCAAATTGCCTTGAAGGCCTTCAAAAAGGCTCCTCGTATCAGAATTTGGTCAATGATCAAAAATGCGTATTCAACTAAGGTAAGTCTAAAAACACATTTTGATCATCACTTACACAATCCTTTTTGAAATACACAGGTAGAGTACAAGCCGATCCGATCCGTGCTGGTTGCGAATCGTGGCGAGATTGCCATCCGTGTCTTCCGAGCGTGCAATGAACTGGGCATCCGATCGGTAGCAGTGTATTCCGAACAGGACAAAATGCACATGCACCGCCAAAAAGCAGATGAGTCCTATATGGTGGGTAAAGGACTCGCGCCTGTCGATGCTTATCTAAGCATTCCAGAAATTATTAGAGTCTGCAAGGAGAACGATGTCGACGCTGTGCATCCTGGGTGAGCATAATACATTCCGTTGGTCTCAAATGAGACATTTTGAATCGACTGAATGAACATCACACTTTAAAACAAATTTTTCAGTTATGGTTTCATGTCTGAGCGATCTGACTTTGCCCAAGCCGTCATCGATGCTGGTCTTCGATTCATCGGTCCGTCGCCAAAGGTTGTGCAACAGATGGGTGATAAAGTGGCTGCACGTAAGGCAGCTATCGAAGCCGGTGTTCCGATCGTACCTGGCACTGATGGACCTGTGACGACCAAGGATGAGGCTGTCGATTTCTGCAGAAAGCACGGTTTGCCCGTCATCTTCAAGGCTGCTTACGGAGGTGGTGGTCGAGGAATGAGAGTGGTTAGGAAAATGGAAGAGGTTGAAGATAACTTCCAGCGTGCCAGTTCGGAAGCTAAGGCAGCATTTGGTAACGGTGCCATGTTCATCGAAAAATTCATCGAACGACCACGGCATATCGAGGTGCAGCTGCTCGGTGACAAAGCAGGCAATGTGGTTCACTTATATGAGCGTGACTGTTCGGTGCAAAGACGTCACCAAAAAGTTGTTGAAATTGCACCTGCACCAAGATTACCACGAGAAGTACGGGATAAAATGACCGAATACGCCGTCAGATTAGCTAAACATGTTGGCTACGAAAATGCCGGAACAGTGGAGTTCCTATGTGACGAATCGGGCAATTTCTACTTCATTGAAGTGAACGCTCGTCTACAAGTTGAGCACACCGTCACAGAAGAAATCACCGGTATCGATCTTGTACAATCACAAATCCGCATTGCAGAAGGCATGACTTTGCCAGAACTAGGGTACAATCAAGAAAACATTAAACCCCAAGGTTATGCCATCCAGTGCCGTGTAACAACTGAAGATCCTGCCAACGACTTCCAACCAAATACTGGCCGCCTGGAAGTATTCAGATCCGGCGAAGGTATGGGTATTCGTCTTGATAGTGCCTCTGCCTATGCTGGTGCTATTATTTCACCATACTACGATTCACTGCTAGTTAAGGTAATTTCACACGCATCCGATTTACAATCTTCCGCTGCCAAAATGAACCGTGCTCTGCGCGAGTTCCGCATCCGTGGTGTTAAGACCAACATCCCGTTTTTACTGAATGTTCTGGAAAATCAAAAATTCTTGAATGGTGTCCTGGATACTTACTTCATCGACGAGCATCCACAACTGTTCCGTTTTACTAAATCTAAGAACCGGGCCCAAAAACTATTAAACTACCTTGGTGAAGTGTTAGTCAACGGACCTACCACTCCATTAGCGACCAAGCTGAAGCCAGCGGAGGTGCAGCCACATGTGCCACAGTTGCCGTTGGGTGAGTACCCAGTTGAATTTTATGTGTTTTACTATGTTTGTTGAAAACAGTGTGGCTTGCTTATTTTTCCCAAGAGTTTGTGTAACTATCAAGGTAAATTGCTTTCTGTAGATTCAAAATGCATTTACTCTCAGATGCATCTAGTTAAAACATATCTATGTTAATAGTTTGCAATAACCGGACCACTAAGGCTAAGTTTGTTCTCGAAAAAAGCATTATTTATTGTTCAAGCCATTGTTCAAGTTTTGCCATTATGCGTATATCAGGGGTTTCAGAATTAATTATTTATTTTTGTTGGCGAGAATTTATCGTTGCGCCCGTATTCCATAATGATAGGGGATGAGTTGATAGATAGTTGGTGTTGATAGACGTCTTAAGGCAATTTAGATATTTTTATGGCATGTGTTTTGCGATTTTGAAACCAGTTTGGTTTTTTGAACGTCACTATTGATGCTTTGAAGTATTTTTTTAATTATTAAAGTGATAATGATTAATTTAAACGTTTTCAGAGTTATTAAAGCTATTTTTTCGTTTCAAATGCAAGAAACCACTTTACTATACTTTACACTTAATCGGTTGTAATGGTATATTTCCGCTATGTATACCCTTCGAAGAGTAAAAGAATCCTGCAAAGGCGTGGTTCGTTGTCAATCAAAAGCTTTCAAATACTCATTTCGCATAAATACTATTTTTCGGTATTATGATATTAAATTGATAATTTCCTTTTTTAGGATACAAGAGAATGTTGCAAAGTATGTATGTCATTTCGCTATCACTAGTCTGAATCAGCGATTTTATGCTCGCTGAGTGTTCAGTGATTCAGAACCCTCGTCTTAACCACTACAAATTAGAGAAAAACAAATAGAAGATTGGGAAGGAATCACATAACAGATCAAGCCATTTTTCCTTGTTTCAAGATCATCCTCGGTGGCGTGCGACCCGAGTCTTGTTACTGTGAACAAGACGTAAACCGTAAAATGGACAAAAACCTTTTCTTTTGATTACTGAAAAAAACTGTTCCCCTAATCTTACCCAAGTAACCTACTATTCCGCTAATTGCTAGCACATCGCTTTTTTTTTTGTAAAATATTGTTATCATATACTTGAGCTTGATGGCTATTTACTTGAGTACACCTGCCACGAAAAGGCGATCTATCAGCGTTACGTAAAATTATGGCCTTTAAAAAAAAATCTCAATTTGTTGCCTGCTTCGGGACCTGGACTCAAACATGCGACAATCGCTACACCAATATTTATAACTTATCTAGGAATACCGTAAAACGGGGTGATGTGAATCCATAACAACCGATTCTACCGCTCTAAATTTTCAATTTTGTGGAAGTGATAAAATATGCTACTTTTAACTGCTCCTTATCTTATTGTGTCTCGCAAATTACCAAAGATTAATAAGTGTTACGTAGATTCAATCGGTAGAAGTAATCAATTTACCCCCGGATTACGGTATATAACTTTGAAACGTGTTGATCAATGTTGATGACTAGATACTAGTCAAAGTTTTTTTTTTTTTTTTCTTTATTATAGAGATTTTTAGCCATAGGCATCTCTTTACTAGTCAAAGTATAATAAACAAAAAGATGACAAAAGTTTCTGGTTCTGTTCTCTAGGAACGCGATGGTGCGTTGAAACCTGTGATCAGATTTTCTTTTAACCTGGCTTTATATACGTATTAAGTACAGAAAATATATATACAAGCTAACGTTGTGTGGTAAGAAAATTCTGAACTTATATGTCTACCATTCAAAAAGCTTGGTCTCCTAAAAACATTGCCGAAGTCATCAACTGTCTGGATGACCAGGACCTTGCATATCTAGCATATAAATGAAGTTCACTTGGACACTACCACCACGTTTAAGAGAGTTTAAAAATAACCTGTTTATCTGTTATCTGGGTCACCTGAACAATCGTGTTGAAGACAGTAGTTTCAAAAAGATTGGCGCTGCGTAGTGATGAAATTGTACACTAATTCATCTTCCATCTGGAAGGCCTCAATCACTTGAGCGACTTTGCCAAAGGCAACAACTTCCTAGATGATTAGGATATCAAGGTAGTGAGAGAAATCTTAACTAATCTACTCACTATTTGGAAGGCCTTGATCAACTGTATAACTTTCCCCAAGGCCCAGTAACGCTAGTAGATCACCTTTTCGTGGTGCGTTACTGGTATTAGATCTTCCACCAAAGCCTAAGTTATAACTACTTCAAACTAGGGGAACAGGGTTTTTGTTTTGTAAACAAAGGAACACATTTTAGTCCTTGTTACTTGTTTTACCTTGTGTGACCATAGTTGGGTTTTTCCACCGAGGATGGTTATGAAATAAGAAAAAAAAAGATTTAGTTATTTTACATGCATTAGGTATCAAACCTAATCTTTTACTCGTTGTTCTTTAGTTTGAAGAGGTACTAGGGTTCTGATGCATAGTCAATATCGGTGTCATTGCTTGATTTTGTTGCTAAGGAATCTGATTTTAACTGACAAATAGGTGTGCCTTTGGAGGGTGTTTTAATTCTTTGATTTTAAGAGTTTAGTGATACAATTTTAAACATCTCGACAGTAAGCATGCATGCTCTTATGCCCTTGTACACGGGATGATCGATTCTCTTCGTCGATTTTCTCTTTTGTTAATAACTCGCTTGGATTAACATTTCTCGGTGCGTTTGTTGTTGCTTTTGATGACCAATACAACCTGTTACTGCACTGTATTAGAACAAAATCAGAAAATTGCTTCCCTTAACTGTAGCAATTTAAAGAGAAAATCGATGAAGAGAATCGATCATCGCGTTTACGCCCTTATGCATGCTCACTGTCGATCTATTCTCTATCCAAAAGGCCTTTATGCCACTGTACAACCTCCTTATGGTCAGGAGTCCGAGATATTCTAAGTGTTTCATGAAAATCCTTCAAGATATGTGAAATACTCCAAAAATCCATATTGACTTCATTTATTGCTGAAATTTTGCAATCTTCTTTTAGTTTAGGGTAGCCGTCTTACCTCCATCTTCTTAATAACAAGAAATTGTACATAACATAAATGGCTTCAAAGTTTTCAAAATAGCTTTAAACTTTAAAATGTAATCAATGATAAAACAGCACCAAAATTTCCAAAACCAACCTTAAAAACTAGGCCATCAGCATTTGGTTTTGAAACTCTTAAAATGTCTTGAAATTTCGATTAGTTCAATATGCTTTAAAATTCAGATAAATTTTCCATAAACTTTTAAAAAGCAAGTTATCTGAATTCCACCAAGGCTATAAGTGTGGCCGAAAATTTTCGTTTTTGCTATCGGGTAAAAATTTACATTTATAAATGCGCAATCGTTTTAAAATCATTATCTTCCCAAAATTTGAGATCATTTGAATTCTATGGGAATTGCTTTGGGCAAATGAAACATTATTCATGTAATTATAAGCATTTTATTTAAATGTATCTAGTGTTTTATAAAAAGTTATCATTAAACAGTGTTGTATTCCAAATACCGAAAAACAAACATTCGCTAAGTGAAAAAAACTTTAATTGAAGTGTCTTTCAGTTGAAAGTCCGTTTCAGTTAATCCTTATATATCCAACCTTTTTCTACAAGTAGACCTGTTTTATCAAAATCGGTATGAACTGATGAAAATTGGAGATTAAGAATTGTTTTAGGAGCAAACTTTTGATATATACATTTCAGTAAGTGAATGCCCTTCGCTAGACGAAAGAAAAACATTTTTCAGTTAACGTTGAATGTATATCACATTCATGGATAAGTTGTGTAAACACGATTGATTTTATATCACCAAGACTTCAAATACCACTCGCCTAGTCGGAACATAGTTCGTGAAGCTAGATTCGAAATCTAGAATCAAAGCTAATAAAATAGAATTTAATCTTGAAACGAAAACATACTTGAGATTGATTATATATAAAATTCACAATAATGCTCACTACTTAACATTTACGATTATTGTTTAAAAAATGGAAGTCCAATTTATAGCAAACCGGTAATCAAATTTAGTCTTGAAGTAGGTAAAACGTTATTGCTGATAAAAAGATCTTAACTTTGATTTACAAAATGTATCAGATGACCCGAGTTCGGGTGGTCTTTGATGACTTGATGGCACGATCATTAGCAACCAACACCCATAATCGAAGAATAAACAGCATCTCTTACATTTCTTCTATATATATCACAAATAATATTGCAGCGAGTTTATGTTAGTTGGTACTGCTTGATTGTTTTATTTTATGTTTACTAATATTTTGTGTTATGCAACTACGTATGGATGTGTTTATTCACAGATTTGTCACCAGAAGCACTTGCAGAGGAGGAGAAGGGCAAAAAAGGTAAAAAATTAAATGAGGAAAATACACGGAACATGATACGAGGAAGTATAAGCGTAATAAGTTCGTCCAACGAAAACAAAAATTGTTCAGTAAAAAGCATTAGTTTAGGCCACCAATTATGAGATGAGTTCCTATTGTTTCACGTTAGTCGGCTTTTTTATCTATTCGAAGAGTAATAATATTTGATTAACTCTCTATTGAACCAGTAATAACTTTCTGTGAATAACTTCTGTAATGGCTACGGATTGTTCAAACTGCGATTAATAGTTCAAACGACATATCCCACAGTGACCGATCCCCCACGTGGATTCAAGGACATCTTGCGAGAACAGGGACCAGAAGGATTCGCCAAGGCAGTCAGAGCCCAGAAAAATCTTCTGCTCATGGATACGACTTTCCGTGATGCCCATCAATCTCTGCTGGCAACCCGTGTTCGAACTCATGATTTGCTGAAAATCTCCCCCTTCGTATCGCATAAGTTCAACAATCTATACTCTCTGGAGAACTGGGGTGGGGCCACCTTCGACGTTGCTCTACGATTCTTGCATGAGTGTCCATGGGAACGCCTGGAAGATATGCGAAAGCAGATTCCAAATATTCCATTCCAAATGCTGCTGCGTGGTGCGAATGCCGTAGGCTACACGAATTATCCGGATAATGTCGTTCACAAATTTTGCGAACTCTCGGTATTATTTCCACTTTAGGTATGTGTGTGTGTTATCTGTTATCCAACTATTTTTAATGTTTCACAGGTTCAATGTGGAATGGACATCTTTCGAGTGTTTGACTCCTTGAACTACCTGCCGAATTTGGTTTTGGGAATGGAAGCTGCCGGTAACGCTGGAGGTGTAGTCGAAGCTGCGATCTCCTACACGGGAGACGTAAGTGATCCTACCAAGAAAAAGTATGACCTCAAATACTACACTAATCTTGCCGATGAACTGGTGAAGGCCGGCACTCACGTACTTTGCATCAAAGATATGGCTGGTCTACTTAAACCACAAGCTGCCAAGTAAGTTCTACCGAATGATTAAAGCACAACTGAATAATCCAGAAATATCAAACATTTTTATCTGCTAGATTGCTTATCGCGGCCATCCGCGACAAACACCCGGATGTCCCGATCCATATTCACACTCACGATACCTCTGGAGCGGGCGTTGCTTCGATGTTGGCTTGTGCTGAAGCTGGTGCTGATGTCGTGGATGTTGCAGTGGATTCCATGTCTGGCTTGACTTCCCAGCCCAGCATGGGCGCTGTTGTTGCCTCACTACAGGGAGCTTCGTTGGACACCGGTCTGAATCTACGGGACATTAGTGAATATTCTGCCTACTGGGAGCAAACTCGAACTTTGTATGCTCCATTTGAGTGTACGACAACGATGAAATCTGGAAATGCTGATGTGTATCTGAATGAAATTCCTGGTGGTCAATACACCAATCTTCAGTTCCAAGCATATTCCCTTGGATTGGGAGACTTTTTTGAAGATGTCAAGAAGGCTTATCGTGAAGCCAATCTGCTGTTGGGTGACATCATTAAGGTCACTCCTTCGTCTAAGGTTGTTGGTGATTTGGCTCAATTCATGGTGCAGAATCATCTCACAGCCGACCAGGTAATGGAACGGGCCGAAGAACTTTCCTTCCCAAAATCTGTAATTGAATTCCTGCAAGGAGCTATCGGTACTCCGTACGGTGGATTCCCTGAACCATTCCGCTCTCGTGTGCTCAAGGATATGCCACGAATTGATGGACGTCCTGGTGCTTCGCTGCCCCCACTAGATTTCGACAAACTGAAAAAAGACCTACAAGAATCTCATCCAGATGTGTCTCATCGAGACGTTATGTCCGCTGCCTTATATCCTCAGGTTACCAACGATTTTCTTACCTTTAGAGATTCCTTCGGACCCGTAGATAAACTAGATACCCGCGTATTCCTAACCGGTCCCAAAGTGGGCGAAGAATTCGAAGTCACCATTGAGAAGGGCAAGACGCTTGGCTTCAAAACACTTGCCATGGCTGAAGATCTAACGACGAACGGTGAACGTGAGGTCTTCTTTGAACTGAACGGTCAACTGCGATCGGTAATGGTCCGTGACAAGGAAGCTGTTAAGGTAGGTTGAAATTTTACACAGTAATTTTATTCAGTAACACTAATCCAATCGCATCGTTACACAGGAGCTGCACATTCATCCCAAGGCTACTAAGGGAAATAAGGATCAAGTTGGTGCCCCAATGCCTGGCTCTGTCATCGGTATGTATTTCAAGTTATACTCTTAGCTAAACACGTACTAACTCACATTAATAATTGATTTTAGAAATCAAAGTAAAAGTAGGAGATCGCGTTGAAAAGGGTCAACCGTTGGTGGTTCTATCTGCCATGAAGATGGAAATGGTTGTACAAGCGCCACGTGCTGGCGTTGTGAAAACACTGGACATTTCTTCCGGAATGAAATTGGAAGGTGAAGATCTGCTTCTAACTCTGGAATAATTCGCCGGACACTATACTTCAGAATGAACAAATACGAAAAGACATACAGTTGATATTCACTTGACGTGCATTAATATTAAATAGCAGACAGGAAAAAAAACTTCGCGCTATAGGGGTGTATTTACGTGGGAAATGTGTATGTGGATGATATAGGCTTAAAATGTACTGTCACGTCATGTTATATTAACATTTTGCCCTAAGCAGCTTTTTTGTTAAAACTTTAAATTCTACATTTATTTTTCGATGCATATTCTGAGTTTCAAATAAAGATAAATACTCAAGTCGAATAGCAGCGTGTTTTAAAGACAATTAACTCTCTTCAACGAAAACTTACTGAAACCGAACACAGGGCAATGGGGTGAGCTATCCAAAAATGAAAACCCAGCTTTTCTTGCGACCCATCATTTTTTAGCAACTTTCTGGATACTGAACTCGCCATAGAGTAGCGCAAGCTCATGCTTCATTCTTCTTCTCATTTTCATATAGGTAGTCTGCCAAAGATTGTCCACGTCACGTGTCCGTAGAGAACTACCGCTATAATCAGCGTATTGTACATGGTACACTTAGTACGGGTCAAAGTTTACCAGACCTCAAGCTATTGAGATTGTGATGTCTGTAGTAAGCACGACTTCGGGAAATAGTACCCTTCGAGCTTCTCTGCTGCAGTTTTTATCCGACGTCATCAATGAACCAACAAATTTATCCACCACCTTGATACAGATTCTTATTTTTCGACGTAACAGAGTTGTTCATCGATAACCGTCAATAACGTCTGCAATGAAACATTCACCATTGCAGCCGTTACCGCTGACGTTAGCAACGGTTATCGATTGACAACCTTGGTATGTAATATAGCCACCATCCCTTCGAAGATCTTGCCTTGTATGTAGCTCCACTCCAAGATCAAATTGAGTTACTCGTCTGAATTCACTGTATGAAGGGGCAAGAACGGAGGGACAGACCCATAGGCAGAAACAATTAGGCAAAGTCTATTTGAATTTCCTTCCAACGAACGAACCTTATACTTATTAACCTTTCAGTACTCGCACCAACAGAACATTCAGAGTCTTTGACAAGATTACGATAAATTATGATAAATCCACGTCTGGTTACATTACATATTGTTGCACAGACAAATCAAGGCATTATTTGAATAAATATACGCAGTAATGAATTATACGAGCCATCCGGTGGACACTAAGAATTATTTGTTGTTCAAATAATATTTTTTCTTTGATTTGTTTATTGTCGATCTTGTTTTCCGTACTGAGTACCAATGCAACCGACGCCAAAGAGGTAGCTCCCACACCTGGATCCTACCTATCGACCCAGCAACTCATGGACCGGAGAACAACGGCTTTACTGCCCTTCCGAAGAAAGGCGTGATCAGAGACTTTATGCCTAAGAAAATCCCGACGGCGCCGACCGGTATTGAACCCAGGCCTTTTGGAATGAGAGGCAGTCATGCTTATTGTTCAAATAATAATGTGTTGGGGCCAGTTTCACATCCTGCACATTTCTAGCGTACTGTACCCCATTGTTACTCATAATTACAACCTTTGCTCCGGTTCTAGCCACTACAGTGAAGCGTTCCGAAGAAAACATTGGATCGCTTTTGCATTTTCTTTGCTGGCTCATTAACACAATGTCACCAACCTTGATATTACATTCTTTCGCACCTCGTACCTCGTCTGCATAATGTTTGCTGTACAATTTTGCTTCTGCATCCATCTCTCTTACATTCTCCCTGTCTAACTCCTTTGAACGAGAATCTGTCCACAGACTGGGAAAAGTTCCACGATATTTGTAGCCAACCATTAATTCAAATGGCGTAACCATGAGCCGTGCATGTGGAATTAGTGTGTTATGACTGTGTACGAACGTGTCCAGGCTCATACGCCAATTAGTCCCATCAAGTGAGGAAGCTGATGCACCTAAATTTAACGCAATCGCACGCGTTTTAAATTAGTGAAAAAAAAGGAATTTTTCGGTACACAGCAATGGCTACGAAGCGTCACGACACTACTCATAGAAGCCTGTTGTTGTGGCTTTACAGCAGGTCTGCTCACCGTTTTTAAAATATTGTTATAAAACTTTTTTTAAATATTTTTGAGGTTATTTATTTATTAAGCTAATAATCCTCAGTAGTAAAATAAGCCAACTTAACTTAAGAAACCTAAAAAGCACAGTGTTGGTAATTATTCTACTTATCGAAATAGTACAATGTATCTATTAACCATGTAAAATGTATAGAAAACACATTAATATTCAATAATTGGATCGTATTTGAACTCTTGGTCCAAGATTTTTGTGATTGAGCAGTTCAATAAGATAAATAAAATAACTGATATCATAATTACAATATTCCGAAAATTTGCTATCAATCATCTATGGGATCATACATAAATGACATAGCACTTGAAGAGAGAGAGAGAGAGAGAGAGGGAGGGTGGTATAAAATTGGTCAAAATATGCTTCGTCATTTATGGATAATCCCTAACTGAATGATTTGTCTTGCTGAATAAATTCATTCTAAGATGCATGCAGTCAAATTTCATGGGTGTTCAATAATTATATAGAGATTAACAATTAGATAGAGATAGAAAGGATATGTTTCCAACAAAGTAAATTGGAATCAGCTCAGCTTCAACTTTGTCGAAGATCATGGGCCACTATTTTCAAAAATAAGAAAGTTAGAAATACCAATTAATCAAAGGGTGGTGGAGACCTTAATTTAAAAACGACAAAAAGAACGACAAAAAAAAAGTTCACAGAATACAATAAAAATGTCTAAAACTTAAGACAAAACCACTAGGGTTTTAATTTTGTGGACAAATCAGTGCAGCATTAAAAAGTCTCATTGCATTGATAAAAAGATGGTGTAGTGTGTCGTAACTCAACGCACCTGAGGCCTGATTTTTGTGTTATTTCGACAAATAGCATATAATTTTGAATTTTTCCACTCAACCGACAAATGTAGATGTGTATAAAAAATGAGGTGTATATTGAAAGTTGTAATTAATCATCGCATACACATATTCTATAATGTAATCTTAAGAAGACATTCCAAAGTAGTTTATAAATTATTTTTAGCTTATTTTACAAATCATGTTTGCTTTGATTCGACCAATACGCTGAACCTATAAAATCTTCTTGCGACGATTTAACATGGAAATATTATTTCTAGAAAAAGTTGCACTAGTTACATAATGTGTTTTAGTTTTTTTTTAGTGAATAGTGAATTAGTGAAAGTGACATAATAGTAGTAGAATGAAAAGGAAACCCAACTCCTTTGATATAATAATGCTATCTCGTTTTTGTCTTCACCGAAGCTACGGCTTCTACCAGGCGTTATGGATTTTTCGTTAACAACACTGGATTGAATGCGTAAAATCCGAATGCTAACAATTTAAATAGCCGAGTGGTATATTTGTTGGTTCAGTGATTTGAATCAGTTGAATTGGCTACAGCAGTTTACAGTGTCTGCATGACGCCTACGTTTATGTGTTACAGTATAATACTTTTCTCCATATTAATAACCATTTAAATGTGTCAATTTATGTTTAAGCTTGAAAATAAAAAATTGATTCTTTCTGCAAAATTCTTACTCAGCTCACTCAGCAGAATGCAATCGTAAATAGCTCGGCATGCAAAAAATATTAAGTGAGGAATCACCTACACTACTACACTCAGAATCATTCATGTTTTGCTCAATTCTGCATTCATCGAAGAAAATAGATGCAATGAGAACGCAAACGAAATCAGTGCGACTCGCACAAGCTTCTGCTCGTTTCTGATGTTTTATGTGTGTGAGTGAGTAGTAAGTGCAAAGTGAAACGATTTTTCCCATGCTGGTACAGAATTTTTTTTTCTTATTTCTTTTTTTTTTGTTTAAGCTTTATTCTATATCTTTATTTGAGTTTAGTCTGATGTTTTCAAACAATTTCATATGAAAATGGTAGGAAGAAAAATACGATCGCGCATTTTAAATTCAAACTTCGAAAGCAGATAATATGGTGGCAACTCGAGCATTTATCGTTCTTCTAGCGTAATGGAACGGTGCAAGGTCAAACCATAACACTGTATATTTTTCGTGATGTATTTCTATATGAAACGGGACACTTGCAGCATTTAAGGAATTACCGCTGGTGACAGGGTGATCACTTAAAAAATCGGCGAAGAAAATCTATTTTTTACCGCATACGTTGTGTATTAAATCCGTGACATAGGGGAAATGCCCCTAATTTGGGCCCATACATAAGTTCAGCAATCGACTAAATTTTCAATAGCGACCAAAAATATCCATTAGTACCGTCCCCATGACGTGTTCATCTAGATAAAATTGATAAATAGCAGACTTTTAGCGATGGGCCCAGTCTTAGATTCATAGGCCAACATTGGAGCCATTTCGCCTATGTACCTAATTCGACCATATCCATATTCTACATCATTTGGAATTATATGAGTGTGTAAATAGGAATAATAGACATAAGTTCACGATATTTAAAATGGCAAATGCTCGTTTACACCGAGGTGCTTTTTACCACTATGAGTAGCTTTTGTTAGACCTTACATCGCCCGGGGACAGTCTTGCCACAGTAGGTTTTCCCCTGTTCAACATTTATATGAATCATTTTAGCCATTGACGTAACTAAGGAAGCATCCAAGGGGGTTTAAATTTATTTTTTGAACTCTGAATTAGGCAACTAGAGAACAATTTTTATGTGTAAGGAAAATAAGTAATTGAAGTAAAATTCTAGAGGGGGTTACATTAAGCCTACAGGAGCTGTAGCCCCCGTAGTTACGTCAATGATTGTAGCTGACATTTCCTCCCAAATGCAGTCAAATCTGTCACAACCTTCAATGTCTAACCGCAACAAAACCTAATTGAAAATATGTGTCGCATCGTATCTTCAGTTACTTGACACAGCTTTATCATTGTGAGAGGTTTGATAAAATCAATGAACATTTCTTATTAAACGATATAAAACGTCTCTCTAAGGAGCACACACGAAACAGTTGTGTTCGTTCTAGATACATGTCGGTATAAGTTACGTAGAGTGAGTCTTAGGAATGACCTTCAAAATTATTTTTCTTCTGCTAACAGTGATATCACTAGCAAACGCTGCGACTGTAAGTACAAATACTCTATTGAACATTGTTTCTCTCGGAATAACACCCTCATAAAGTTTTAATAAAAGTACGATGTACTACCAATTCCTAGGAAAGACATCCCAGAACATGATGAGTTGAGAAAAATTGTCAACGGCCAACCGGCTACACATAGCCAGTTTCCGTGGCAAGTTTCCATCCGCGCTACATTGGGCCGTTCTGTAACCGTATGTGGAGGATCACTGATCGCACCGCAATGGGTTCTAACGGCAGCTCATTGCGCCAAGGATTACACCGCATTTCAAATTGGCATGGGATCTGTATATCTCAACGTCCCACGATTGACGATGTCGACTGTAACCAAACTTGTTCATCCAGAGTTCGATCCTGTCAGACTGAGCAACGATGTCGCAGTTATTAAACTGCCTTCGCCCGTGCCATACAGTAACGAAATATCTTCAATTCAGCTACCACCAATGTCATACGCTACGAAATCGTTCCAAAATGTCATAGGAATTGTGTCTGGATTTGGACGAACTTCTGATGGTACCTCTTGATCCTCATAAATCATAATCAACATTAATTTATTGTTGTATTAATTCCAGCTAGTCAGTCTATATCAAACTACCTAAAGTACGAAAACATGCGACTGATATCGAATTCGGAATGCGCCAACGTGTATGGAACTTCTGTCATCAAAGATTCGACTCTATGTGCAATCGGATCGGAACGAACCAACCAGAATGTATGCCAAGGGGATTCGGGAGGCCCATTGGTCACACAGGAGAATGGAGGCTACATACAAATTGGTATTGTGTCCTTTGTGTCTAATCGAGGCTGCAGTACAGGTGATCCATCCGGTTACATTCGAACTGCATCTTTCCTTGACTGGATAGCCCAGCAGACAGGAATACGCATGCAGCCTTGAAAATTTCTGTTTATGCCCTCAATCATTATATTTAAAAAATACACTCATGCTTAGGAGACATACATCTTGGAATAAATTATCTCTACTATTGTGATGATGAACGCGCAAAAAACAACTGTTCAAAATATAGAACAAATTGGAACCACCTTCATATGGTAAAATGTGTATATAAAACCGCAAGAAGAAATTTTTATTATTATAGAGGAAATGGATGGGGCCATACATAAGTTCAGCAATCGACTAAATTTTCAATAGCGACCAAAATATCCATTAGTACCGTCCCAATGACGCGTTCATCTACATGCAAACCAAAAATCTATTACAATGAATGTTAGTTCCGTTTCCTATCACCCTCTGTTCATGAACATCGCAACGAATGTTAGAAATTGACCATGCTGTGAATTTCCACCTGGTTCAAAGGGGAATCCCCCAACGCTGTAGCTTGCAGCTAAATTATTACTTACCTATTGGAGCTCCTGGGAATGAAAGGCCACGAGTCCTGGGTTGTCAAATATACGAAGCATAGCCTACTTTGATTTAATCGACTTAGAGTGTACGTCGAATTTAGTTCCGTATACATTTCTACCGAATCATTAATACAGCTCATTTCACACTTTCTTAAGCTCATGACTGTATACCGCACACATGCAGGCGATGTAATGGTTTTTTGTCTTTTTTATTTCGTGTTCTATCTAAGCTTTCGACTATACCAGTAGACGCACATTGTAGAACATTGTAGAACGACGCACACACTTGCCTCGAATCTCTCCAGCAGAAAAAGCATACGAAGTCGAGTATGCGAGAAAATGAGCGCTTCATGTTTGCTTTTAGGCTATCCATATTCAGGAGCATGGAGAGAGCAGTGGAGAAAGCACAGGTCTGATAATCGAAGCGTTCTTGGTTCGAGTCCAGTCGGCAATCGGATTCCTATTTTTTCGACATAACTAATTTACCTCACTAATACACTCTACATTTTTCGGTCTCCAATTTTCTTGCATTGGACCGCAGCTAGGTATATCGCATCCTCGGTTCATGCGGTCTCCACTAACATCCTCGGATGATGAATCCCACATAATTGTAAGCGAATCTTACATCCCTCGGTTGGGTATAGATAAAATTGATAAATAGCAGATTTTTAGCGATGGTCCCAATCTTAGATCCATAGGCCAACCTTAGAGCCATTTCCCCTATAATCTTTCGGGGTGGAAATTGTCATGCCACACTATAAGCAAATTCGTTGGAATAGAAAGCTCTCAATTAATAACTGCAAAAGTGCACTAAGTTAAGGATAAGGTTGACAGAATCCACAAATGGCCGTCGTCATGGCTGATATGAAGCGTAAAAGAAGAATAATACGATATTATTTCACGACGTTCTTGTTATCATGAGGCATTACAAAGCTCTCTAAAATTACTGGACTGCGTTAAAGTTAGTGGTTGTTTTTGTTTATGTGGAAACTTTTGGATATAAATTGTACTTGCTTTCGTCCTCAAAAATTAACTTTCGAATTGCGTACTGAAAACAGTTAAAAAAAACATTTACTAAGCACTGTTAAGTTCGGTATGAAGAACGAGTTGAAAAGTAACTTGGAAGCCCTTTGTCTACACGGAGAAAAATACTACCCAAAATTTGAGTTCTTTTTACTTAATATTGAGTTCAGTATCTCACTTGCACTCTTTATTGTTGTCAAAAAAGGAACGAGAGATTCGACCCAACGATATAGTTCAGCCCAATAAGTTACTCTTGAGTAAATTGCATATTCTCAAATTTACGTGAATTAAACTTAATTTTAGGTAGAATATACTTAAGAGTAGGTATTTTTTTTTTGTTGGTGTTAAATGGAAACTACTATATGCAATTTACTCAAATTTGGTTTAATGGGCTGAACTCGGGAATTGAGGGAAAAGTACTTAATTTTGGGAAGTTTTTCATCTCCGTGTAGTGTTTCGCATTTGAATTTGGCGGCTGAGCACCATGCACTGAGAAAATATTCAATGGAATATACGAATAATTTACGGTTGCGAAGCAAGATGTGCTAGTTTGCCTGAAAACGGTATGTGTTTCGTCTGCATCGAGAATATTCTTTGGATTTGTGATGTACGCCTAGTGAATTACAAGTTATAGTACGTTCAGGCCTGTTCAGACTACAGAGTTATAACATGTTATAGCGCTATCTTGATGGTGGTTTCTGTGTTGCAATTATTTGACAACCGTTATAACATGTTATAACTCTCCAGTCTGGACAGCGTTTTACCTCAGCTATCGACTGTTACATTTATAACAACAACTGAAAGTGAGATAGGTACCTACCTAGCAGAATTGAAATCGTCGAAGCGCTCGCACTATTAACTACACAATCCCTATGTCAGTCCGTCTAGATTTTGGTTTTCAATTTATCAATTTCATTCATATTTATTCTGGACGGCGAATGAAAATCGATTTGGCCGGTCCTACACTGATCGAAAACATCCGCAATACTTCGACGATATATTATTGCTAATATTGCTCGAGCCCTTTTACAATATGCTGTTGAATTTCGGATGATTTCCTTATGGTGGAATTCGTTATCAACTAATGAGCATTTTTAAGATAGCATTACGCATTCCAACTGAAGGCCCTATCCCTTCTCAAAACAATGTTCATCCTGTATTCGAGAGGAAAATCATCTGATTTCAAAACAACCGTCATCCGGTTGCAGCTATCATTCGAAAAGGCGATTTCGATGTTTCATTCGAACAGAGGACGGTGGTTTGGTACATTGTACTGAGAACCAATGCTACCGACGCCGGGGAGGCAGCTACCACACCTGGATCATACTTATCGACCCATCAACTCATGGACCGGGGATTTATGATTTTATGCCCCGACGGCGCCGACTGGGATTGAATCCAGGGCCTTTGGAGTGAGAGGCAGTCACGCTGAAGTTATTATTGATTTTGAATCAAATTTAAAAATCACAAGAAAAAATATTGATGAAAATTTGAGAAATTTGTAGAACATACGGTTTTCAAAAAGCGAGTCCGGATGAGTTCTCACTACTAATGTGTTCATGCCAACTTGAAGTTTCATTCGTCCATAGATTATATCAAGCTGAACATTGTATTAGGTCCTAAGAAACATTGACATATTCTCTTCGTCGACTTTCTCTTTGTATCTTCACGGCCATGTAAAGACATTCACAGGTATTTTCAGCACACAGATCGACAAAAGAAGTTTTTATTTAGCATCTAATACGACAAACACAACATGAAACGATCATGTGCTCAAGTTATTAACGAAAGAGAAAGTCGACGAAGAGAATCGATCAATGTTACTTAGGACGTAATGCAATGTTCAGCTGGATATGATCGAATCACGCAGAATTTGACAACTTGAAAACAATGAAAAAAAAAAACCAAAAATTCTTTAAAATAATATTTTATCAACCTTCTTTAATACAAGCTAAAACATTAAAATATTAAGACCATTATCCATCAACTAGTTGGCATTGATTACAAGGAACTCCGTTTTTGAGAAATAATGACCATTGATCATTTTGTTTCCGTCTGTTGCAAAACAAAACAACATAGAAAACCCCAAAACCTGTTTTTTGTTCTAGGTACTCCTCTGTACGACGGTCTTTGTTCGGCAATCGGGTGCCTATCAGGGGCGGGATGTGCGGTCAAATCTGCCTACTGATCATCCATCAACGATATGTAAATAGATCAGTGCACGGTCTCTAACTTCACTTTTTGCTCCCTATCATTTTGCTTCTGAGTAAAAGAGATAGCAACGAATGGGAGCCAAAACAAACCACCCAAAACTGTCAAAACTTACGGGTGAGAGAAGAGTGCGGCAAATCTTCGTGAACTGATCAATAGGTAAAGGCGCAGTGAATATGTCGTCTCTTTTGCTTTTAAAATGGCTATACGAGTGTGACGTAAAACTTCGTCATCCATTTAAACAGCCGAAGAACGAAAGAGACGACAAATTGTTCGTATTTGACAGTCACCTCCCCCTCTTTCTGCCAATCACTGACGAACATCGATTGCCATCTATCGAATGCCAGAGAAACGGCTTCTACACCTGAGTAGATATCACACAAATCAACACATGGGCCGGGACCTACAACTTTACTTCCCTTCCGAAGGAAGACGTGACCCGTGTTTTTTTCGCCTCAGACAATATTTTATAATATTATAGTTAAAATTAAATTATTTTCCAAAATTCATACATCAACACAATTAATAATCAAGATAGAGCTTTATGAGCTGAACAATGCAATGTTTGTTCTACGAATATGTTCGTAAGGATAAATATTAAAAAATATTTTCAAATATTGTGCCAAATTCTCCCGGCCCTAGGATTTACCATACTTCATTCAGTACAATCAGTTTGGATGCGTCTGAAAATTTCGCGACAAAAATTAGTTCTCGCATAGGAGGCGATACGTTGAATGTACGCATTTTGGAATTGAGGAGATTAAATCAGTAAATAATGTCTTTATTATAGTCACTTTAACACATTTGTGACGTGTCTTGCAAAAAAAGGTTTGATGTAGTGACGATGAATGGATGTAAAACACTACACCAGACCAAACTCCTTGAAATAAATGTGTTTTCTTATTATTATTTTTCTTTAAAAATCTCTAATCATAATCTTCATAAAATCTTTGAACCTTTTACGCAATCTTTAAAACTTCTACAAATCTACATTTGTTGCCTAGGCGCATATTGTGGGACTATGAGTTAATCTGGAGGGTGGTCTTAATATATTGAATGTATTGTTTTTCAAAATGAAGCATCCTAATGGGACAACAATGCAGGTCCGTCCAATATGGGGAGCACGTGATTTATTGTCATCTTCAGTGTGGTACGTACGATAAAAATAAACACCATTCCTGACGTTACCTCAAAAGTATCGGCGAGTATCGGCAGCATTATTGGCGTTGACGGCACCGTCGAAAAATTTGCTCTTCTAGCAAATTTAGACAGTTTCTTATGGGAATTTTCGGTGAAGTGAAAGGATAGTACAAAGTCCGCCATGTTTCACGCACAGTCTGACGTTTGCTTATGAATTTTCTCATAGGAGTAAAGAGCTACAGAGTCGCCGTCAACGCCAATAGGTACTTATAAAATTTTAGTCAAACAATGCAGAATAAACAAGAAAATATGTTTGGCCTAATCCTTGTATGGAGATTCCCCATCCGCATAGTAAGATGACAAAGGTGACGAGCTCTCGGATCACGATATGGATGAATAATCTGTCTGTATCCTTGAATGTTATATTAATACATACAATAAAAATACAAACATCACATATTTGCTGAACTGATTACATCAAATTCTTTGGAAACTCCTTTGGAGTGAAAGGGGTACTCGCTCATCGCGTTGCTCATCGTTACAGCTAATCGCTAGTTGTAACCTTCTGAAAGCAAAATTGACAAATTTTATGTGTCATATACAAACTTTACTACCTCTTCTTGTATCTTACAAATAAAAATTATCATTATAGTATCTCATTTTTTCATAATTACGAAAAATAGCATTTCAGCTGTAATGAGCAATTGCAAGTCTGATTCAAAGTTCTGCCGCATTTTTTGCTTATATGCCAGCTTATCGAGTACCGATTGTGGTAATACTCATCAATAATATTAAAAAAAATGCAATGGTTATACAAAAAAGTGGATTTATTGAGATAAAAGTAAGATTTTCAACTTTTCCTTAGTGATATTCATATGGAAAGTAATGTCAGAGGCGTACCACCTGATATAATGCTTACTACGAATATCAGTGTCGGAAGCGAAATTCAGTGCTAGCCCAATATCTTTCGTCGATTAGCATTGTTGACAGCACGCAGCGCTGGGGGCAAGTGCATATCTTAGAGGGAAAGGAGTGTAAGTGAAAATATGATTTTTTAAGTTACTTTAAATGCCTAAAATCGAAATCCTTATGCGCAACACTATAACAGAACCGAAGAAGTTAAGTTATAAAAACCAAAGCGCGTTATTAGTATAATCTCAGGAATTTTCTAGATAATATAAACTTTACATATAATTTTCTCGAAATTTACTTTCTTTCACTTACACCTATATCCTTCTAACCCCCTCAGTTAATAAAAAATCATTAATCAATTAAACCATTACAAACGCATAGCAGATTTGCCTCGTACCATTTTCCTATTGACAAATAGGTAATTTTCTGTCTACAAGTTTTCTAAATAAGTATTGAAATGTCATCTAAAAATATCATAAATAAGCGTTGAAAAACGAAACAAATCTAGATAGAGCTGGAAATAGGGCGTAACAGCTTTTGTAAACAATGACTTCTCTCGATGATTTCTCGAAAGACATGACTCTCCTCCCTGGCAAATCAACATTACCATCGAATAGTGGACGACTTCCCCTACCCGATGGATATGTTGGTTTGTGTAGGCGTGTCTTGAGTTGCTAGAAACCAACGAGAGAAGTCATTGTTTACAAAAGCTGTTACGCCCTAATTCCAGCTCTATCTAGAAATGTGTAATGTCATAACTGGATACGGCATCGTTTACTTCGGCACACACCCTTAAATAGTTTTTCGACAGCCTCGTAGATTTTTTTTTACAGAATTCATAATTAACTCGTGAGCAAAGAATTGTTTGCATGAATGTTGGATGTAGCTGTTTGTCTTCATTGTTTTTGACGCGTATAACCGGAATTGGTCCCATATGCCGAAGTAATGCTATACCCTATTTATTAGAGTGCTGTATTTTTTAACGTAGGACTACGTCTGTGATTTCTATATGGGGGTACACTTTGTGAAAACCGAAAATGGAACATGTAACAAAATTATGAAAGATTTTGAACGTTAATATCTCAGCTGCCCCTGGACCAATTTCAATAATTTTATCACCAATCGATCTGAAATATTCCTACGCATCTGTTAAAGTTAAGACTTGTCACTATTGAAAATTGCACGAATGTACAACTGTTGCTATGATAGTTAAAATTAACACAGATTTCAAAATTGAATTCCATCCGGTCTCACCAAACGATGTTTATTCAATCACCGTGTGGTGAGTGGTGGTGTTCTCCAGCGCACAATGAAACCCCAATAAAACAATTACCATACCCGAATGATAACTCAAATGATTGAACTATTTCACAAATGGTTTGGATGATACCTCAAACACGTCGTTTGAGCAACAAAAAAACCATTCAAACTTTATTAGGGAAGGCTCCCCTCAAGCAGCTAGCTATCAAGGCTGGCCTCAACCGTTGATCGGATTCAGTTCCAATCAACGTGTGTGGTTGTCAACGTCATCAATCGGGTCATCATCAGGAATGCTAAGATTTTCTCTACCCGAGGGTAAAGTTGATTTGCGTGAGCGTGCCTTGAATTCCTAAAAATCATCAAGGTAAGTCATAGTTTAAAAAAGCTGTTACGCCTAATTCCAGCTCTATCTAGATATCTCTATCTACATATCATGTACCCTTTAAGGCAACATTGGGGGTGCAATTTCAAAAACCAAAGTCGGTCGCGGCCTGAAAGTGGTCTGATTTTGATCCTAAGATGATGGATTTTAATTCTTAATACGCCAATCGATAGGTATTTTTTTCTACGAATCTGTTAAAATTAAGTCTTTATCATTTTTCAAAATGTCATCATTGAAAATTGGAATATGTAACTGTTGCTATGATAATTGAAATAATCACCGATTGCCTGCGAACAGCGATTTTCCTAACACAGATTTCAAAGTTGAATTCCATCCGGTCGCACCAAACGGTGTTTATTCAACCCAATCACTGCGTACACAATACAACGAAAGGCTGCATGCAAGCAACGAGCTGCAGCCCACATGAGCATCCATAGAAGGAGGAAGAAGCCACGCCACTATTGATCGAAATCAGTAGCTCTTCGTGAGGTGCTGAGTGCCATCTATGTCAAGCGCGTCATACTAAAGAGTAGAAACAGAGAACCCCGTTCAAATTCCTATTCCTACAAAAAAACAAGCTCCTGCTGCAGTTAACAAATAAGATTTATTGTATGAGACCACATAGTCCTACGTCACCATTGCGTTCCTTGTAGTTTTTAAAATATTTTACATTTGAATTTTATGTCCGGCAAATTAATATTTTCTTTTTCTTTTGAACCAAATAAAAGTAGGTAATGTATGTTGATGACATTTTCACATAAAAATCATCAATTGAAAACAAAAAATGCAAAGTTCATCTTACAGACTTATTGTTTGGCCTTTTTGTAATCAGATTCACCACTGCCTCCTTCCTTAGCCTTACGTTTATGAATAATATTCTGAATTTGTTGCCATTCTCGATCCAATTCTGCTTTTTCGTTCTTTTCTGTCTTATGTTTACGAGTTTTGCGACCATCCTGCATTTTCACACCATATTGGAATGCGGCTTTGGGTAGAGCTTCCTTACTGCTCATATAGTCTATAAAAGTGGTGTAAAAATAAATAGTCTAGCAAATTTAGAAGAAAAAAATCGTAGTTTACCGGAATATTCTTCTTGTGTATCGAAATCCCATCGTCCAATCGGACCCTTCTTATTGCCGAGGTCCATTTTCGTATAATCAACCTCGTCGTCAGAATCGTCTATTGCATCGTTCATTTCTTGCAGTCCCGGATAGCATTCTGCATAGCCCTCTGGTTCGGCTGTCAGCTTTGTGATAAGTTGCGCCGATAGCTTTGGCGGGGCTGGGACTAAAACATAAATAAAAGTTTGATTTTGCCATCTAAATACACATTCACAGAGTACTAAGTCAACATACTTTGAATTGTTCCTGTTTCGCGTTCTTCTTCTTCGTTAGATTTATCGAAATATCTATGTTTGCTCTGGCTGTCATCCACCTTCGATGATGAAGCACCTGGTTCAAAGCGACGGGATGGTTTGTATTCACCAATATCTCCATAAATTGAATCATCCATATGTTTGTCTTCCGGAAGTTTGAAAAGCGGCTTATCTTTGTCCTAAAATAGATCGATCAAAAAGAAATTACAGTAAAAATTATAACAAACAATTAATTATATGATTTGAGTAGTAGCTATACTGAAGATCCGAGAGATGTCGCCCCTTCAGTGGTAGGAAAATCATTTTTGCAGTATGGAGAATATCAGAAAATACACGATTTGTGACTAAACATGCTTTCACAGAAGGAAACAAATAAACGAGTGTTTACCTTATCACCATAGTAATGTACTCGTGCAATTTTTGTGCACCTAAAACTGCCCATAAAGACGACAATGAATAAAAAACTGAAAATTTTCATGCATTTCCAAATGGTTTCCTACCATTCCCATACATTCGAAGTGACTGGCCCTCTGGATGTGGATGATGTCAAAAACAACAAAACATGATTAATTGATCCAACCAATACTTACCCTACGTTTGTTCTTCTTGCCTCGACCACCCTGACGTAGGTAGGACAGAATCTGAGCCAATTTGTTGATGACAATATCGTTAGTAGTGAGTGTCTGAGTATCACCCTCTACCATGGGTACTTCCGCTTTTGAGCGGATAACTGTTGTTGGGATATCCGTTTCTACGTTTTCATCTTCCAATTCAATATGGTAAGCCATCCTTCCAGGCGCAAACATTTCATTGCGCTCTACATTACGTGATCTATAATAGGGAAAATAAATAAGAAATAGATGTGTTAAACATGCCTTGAATTCCTAAACATCATCGATACAAGTCATTGTTTACAAAAGCTGTTACGCCCTTATTCCAGCTCTCTCTAGAATTATTAGTTTTTATGTTGTTAAAATGCATCCAAAACATCATTTTACAACAAATAATTTATCAGACCATTATTCCGCAAGGAAAGTGAAATTGCATTCAGAATGCGCCACCTTCATGTCGATCACGATACTAACGTAATCGATCTTTCCTTTACCGATTTCTTTTGAACTGCGTACTGGGTCAAGAAATGCTAAGGAAAAGAAATTTCTTTAGCATTCCGTGTCCTATCCCGTAGCACGTAAAAACGTCATTACTTTTCAGCTGCGTACCAGGCTTAAAGCCTGGTACGCAGCTGAAAAGAAAACGGAAAAGTAATTTTTGAGGATTTTTCCCAAAAGAAAATTTGACAGCTATAGGCTGCTAAATTTTGAGATTATAGGGAGATGTCGTCAAATTGTAAAATCAACACTTATTAGTGTTTATGTTGTTTAAATGCATCCAAAACATCAGTTTTGCAATAAACGCCAACATTACCTAACGGAATAATTGGTCAGACCATTATTCCGCAAGGAAAATGAAATTGCATTCAGAATGCGCCACCTTCATATCGATCACGATACTAATGTAATCGATCTTTCCTTTACCGATTTCTTTTGAACTGCGTACTGGGTCAAGAAATGCTAAGGAAAAGAAATTTCTTTAGCATTCCGTGTCCTATCCCGTAGCACGTAAAAACGTCATTACTTTTCAGCTGCGTACCAGGCTTTAAGGCTGAATTGGCAAAAGGCTGAATTGGCAAAAGGCTGCAAAATCTTAAAAGGCTAAAAAGTATCAAAAGGCTAAAACGTATCCAAAATCCGAAAAAGTATTAATAGGCTGAAATTCTGATTTCAACCACCAGCAATTGGTTTAAGAGTATAATGTTGTTAAAATTCAACAATACATCTCTTAGACGTAGAGCATTTTCTCCAGTCGATTTAAATAAATGATGGCTGCATAAAGTTAAAATTTCTTCAATCCATGCAAAAAAATTGAGATCAGTTAATCAACCTAGGAAAAAAATCCCATGTTTTACAAAAAAGATGAAGGATCTAAACTTATTATTTTTATATTCATCATTAAACGGTGTATGGCTCTCAAACACCGGCGATTACCCATATGACATTAATATGACTCTCCTCTGACTAAACAAACACCGTTAAGACAGTAAATCTGAGTAGCTACGCAGTAACTGAGCATTTTCTGAAACTTCTTTTAAAAGCTTGCCCGTCGCTACGCTCCTCTAACTAAAAAAAACTCGGACATAAAAATAAATATGTGTATCTGCGTAGTAACAAAGCGTATTAAGTAGTTTTTTTTTTAGAAATTTGCCCGTCGCATCGCTCCTACAAATACAACCAAACCCGAGCGCGCAACAAATCTCAGGTCCAATGAAATCAGCTACCAATGTTACCAATGAAACAAGACTAACAGATTCGAGCGACTCTAGAAAGTAGCGAACATATCCACCGAAATCATCAAAAATCCCGAAAACCGATCCAACCAGGGACTGGAAGCAATTCCTCTGACCCATTAATCGTTTCCTGACCCAGAAGAGGAACACATAAGCAATATACGAATCGACGTACAGCTTTCTTCCGAAAAACCGCGTTACCCACTGAGTTCTACCCACCGCTTTGTCATGATGGGTTTTCAACCAAGCGCTCTGATTTTATGCGAGTGACTAGTTCTCCATTGGCACTACTCACATGCAAAAAATCAGACCGACTGGTCGAAACCCTGCCGAGAAAAAGCGGTGGGCGCAACTCAGTGGGTAACTCCTTCTTCGGGGGATAGCTGTATATACATGAGGAACGAAACGTGAAACACCCTTCAGGCTCTCTCAATCAAAACTTCTGAACCACACTAACTTTGGGGAGGGAAAATTCAATTTCTACATTTATTCAGTAAATTTGATAATCTAGTATTTATGTACATGGTGTAGGTGCATGATTTTAGATTTGGCTGGCCTACTTCTGTTCCTCTCTAGCGATATACTATTCCTAGCTTGGGGAGTGGGTAGTACTTTTCTCCTATCGCTAGATCAAGTGTGTCCGTGATAATGGTCTTACATGCAAATGGGGTTCCCTATACTTACGGTTTGTTTCGAAGCTTACTTGGTGCGCAGTTAGCAGATGAAAACGTAAAAGAAATTTCCGAAATCCGCGTAAAAAACCACGTAAATTCCGGAATCCGTGTAAAAAAAACCGCGTGCAAAAGAGATTCCTGTGTACTTAAAATATGCCCAGAGAACCTTAAGGGGTCCTCCTTTAGCTCAATTGGTAAAGGCGCAGCAACAAAGCAAGATCATGCTGGAGGTGGCTGAGTTCGATTCCATGTACGGTCTAGGAATTTTACGGATTGGATAATTTCTTGAATATCCAGGACATAGAGTATGATTTTACTTGCCACACAATTATAATAATGCGAAAATTGTATTTGCATCGAAAGCTCTCAATTAATAACTGTGGAAGTGCATCTTAGAACACCAAGTTGAGAGCACGCAATAAGCTAACATGCGATAAACAATAAGCTTGAAATGGGAGAAACGAGAAGAATTCGCCATTGGGCTAACAATCTCGCTAATAAAGCATTAAAAAAACGCATGAAATGTGAATAAGAAGTAGGAGAGAATCATAACAAAATTTAAGGAACCTAAAATATACTTTGAAGAAAACTTCAGGAAACTTCATAAAAATTTAGGGACTCTCATTGAAGTATAGGACACTTCGTGAAAGGTAATGCAATTATGGAAAAGTTAAAGGCTCAGGGAGCTTCACAGAACTTCCTAAATACGTTGAGGTACTTCTCGTTGAAAATTCCTAATTAAATTTAAAGTTTACTTGAATTGGGATTCGAGTGAATTTGGGGTGGATTTTATTCCAAATTTCTTATAACAACCCTGAAAACGACATCAATTGGGTTCATTAATTTTGAAACATTTATCAGTATTTACATACATCATCTTAAAAAGGTTCGTTTTCTAAGCTCAAAGATATTTTTTTCAAACACATAGACGTTCATCTCGATTTTCAAATCAGAATTTAAAACAAAAAAATAACTTCACTGGTTGACACTAAACCAACAAATTGACAGCTCGCTCCCATACAAAGTGCCACCGAGGGGTGCCACACTTTAACATGTACCGTAAAGACGGCCCTGAAATATGTTCGACGCAAAATGACGGTAATAAGACTGGAATCCCAAAAAGTAATCAGAGGTCCCATTGCATTATAGAAGTATATCAATCATTTACTCAATATTCTTGTTTGGACGTACTAGGTGTGACGACGAGTGCTATGAGTGAACAGCTGAAGACCCCGATAAATATCAAAACCTGGACACACACATCCTGACCAGATGATCGATAGCACGTTCATTGCGCAAACCGTTGCTCAAAAGATTAGGATTGTATTTACGACAGGAAAACACAAGCCACAAGCTATTATAGTCATCATTGCGGAACCTATCGATAAGATATCGAAAACTGTGATTTTTGTATTATGGTTTACTTAACTTGCTATAAACAGAAGCTAGTAATCATATCATACAGTCGCTTATGTGCTTTCTTGTTCAACGAAAAATTTATTTGATTATAGATTAGGATAAGCTTTAAGAACCATTAAGGTGAAGGTTTTCACTGGCACTGATATAGCCATACAGAAGTGAAAATTAAATAAGATGCTTGATTCTCTGCAGCAGACAAGTAGATTCATTTTGAACTTTGTCCATTAAGTAGATCGCCAGATGTGTGCCTGTGAAATTGCGAGGTGGTAAAACAAATTGTATGGAAATGGATTCCGTCAATAGTGTTACAGTATTATCGATGCTCCTTAGATTAGGAACAGAAATAAATAAATAACGTTAAGATCTTCTTTCCGTCATACTAATCACAACCAAACTTTACCTCTATTTTTCGAACGGGCTTTATGTTTCTATAAAAAATAACTTCTATTTATTTTAACTTTTCCAAACACCGTTCGATTTGATAAAGAGTCACAAATTGTTGAGATATTGTTATAAATCTAAAACTGCTTCTTGAGTCCAATTCCGTCAAACGAGTTTCCCGAGCAAAGTCGGTTAACAAAATGAAAGCAAATCGATATTAAAGTTTGAAGTTCCTATCATAATGAAAACTCATTTTGATTTCAATTGTCGCGACAGAAGTCTGATATCATATTGTGCTTTCATTATGCAGTCAAGACTTTTTAAATCAAAGCAACTTAACTTGAAGTTCTGCTGTTAATTTCTTGTTTAAAATTTGATTTAAGTTCATCGGTCGTTGAACTAACGATTATTGTTTATTTGTTTTGTTTAACACATTTTAGGTCATTCGTGACTAGCCCGAGATGAGATTTGAGCTTAAGTGTTTCAGCGTGAGAAGCATGGATGCTAACCATTTACGCCAGGTCCGTATTCATTTAAACATTATGAATGCAAAATCAGTAATCACATTGATTTTATTGAAAGCAGGATTAGTTTTCCGTTTGATTCAATAGTGTAAAATGTTGCTCTCATTTTTGCTGTGTTAACCGTTAAGTCAACCAAAATGAGATCTAATGGTGTATTCAAAATAAGTTACATCATAACAGCAAATTCTGATTTCAATTTGATCTCTAACCTTGCTCGGGTTCAGTTCTGTTAAAACACATTGAAACGGTATTGGATTCACTTCGACATACGTATGAAGGCAGAAAAAATTGATGCGCTAGGAGCGCATCTTTTGATTTCGGGAAGAATGGATGTTAATATTCATATTATACTAAACTATTGTAACAAACCTGGTACCTGATTCGTTCACATCGAAATCATTGATATTTTTATGTATCTGCTCGATATGACGAAAATAGGCGCTTATGTCAAAGTAGTGCTCTTACCTACAGTACAAGTCGGACTCAATT